GCTGATGAAGGTTTGGAAAAACAGTTCTTTCAAGCTTACAATGGCCACGTAGAACCCAGACCATACTCATGGTTACGGGGCTTACTAAGGGAGTTAACAGGTTACAAATGGTCAGGATGGGAGGACAGGCAGGACAGCCTCTCTGGTCTGCAGCCACACAGCCCCTTGGCCTCTGCCCTACTCCTGCTATGTCACAAAGCTCTCTCAGGACTACTAATAAATGCACAAAGGGCACACCACTCCGCAGTGAGCCTCAACCGACTCTGGGTCAGCACACTGTGCCTGGAAGCAGCCCCTCCTGGCCACAGGCACTTGGCTTACCTTGCTCTGTGGGCGGGAAAGTCTGCTCAGGCACTCCCTGGGCCCTGGAAAGTGGTCTCCTGGAGTTGCGAGGCTCAGGACAAAGGGACCTGCAGGGCTCAAATTATGCGCTCCACGCTGGGCCCGCCTCTCACTGGCAGTGAGCGGCCCTCCTCCTGCTCCTGATGGCTGATTTTATACTCACCAGGATGGCCACCAGTTAACTCTTAACAATCACTCACAGCTAACTCAAAATTATCAGCATCTACTCCCCACCTGGTCTTACCCTGACTGCCAGGAAAAAGGCATTCTGCGGGAGTCACCAGACTGGCCAAAGGAGCCACATTCAATGGGAGCTTGTCAAATTGTAAAATGAGAGCCTACGGACAGGTGGGCAGGGAAAGAAAGGCGGGGGTGATTGGCAATGAATCTCTAAAATGTGTAGCAAGCCTCAACATCTAAACACAAAGGCAATCCAGTTTACAAATGGGCAGAGGACACACACAAACACACTTCATTAGATACTCAGGTGGTCAGCAAACAAGTGAAACAAATGAAAACTCAAAACTCCCCGCCATGGAGTTAGTCTCACAGATGCAAATGCAAGTCAATGCGACACAGGACGAGTTCTCATCTCACAGCATTAACAACTCAAAAACCTCTCAGGAAAACAAACGCGGGGAGGGTGCGGAGAAGCTAGAATGCTCATACTCTGGAACAACCAGTGTGAAACGTGGTATGGTGCTTCTTGAAAAAGGAAAATATAGCTTACCACATGATGTAGCAAAATCCCACTGTTGGGTGTACAGCCTAGAAAAGAGCCATGCCGTGAACAGATATGTGCACACGCATGTTCACTGGAGCACCATTCACAATAGCAACAATAGAGACACCTCAATGCGCACAAGTGGAAGAATGGGTAAGCAAACAATGGTGCTGTGTTAGACAGGGTTCTCTAGAGAAACAAAACCAGGACACTAATAATTTTGTATATATTTATATAGATAACATAAGAAATAAACAGTTAACTAATCTATAAAGCAGTACAAATGGCTCAGTGCAACTCACTTCCGTGAGACAGCTAGTACACTGGCAGTCCTTCAAGTCTTGAGGGCCGCAGGGTAGCCCTCTGTGGAGCAATTCAGGCTATCTGGCCACAGGCTGCAAACAGCAAGCAGGTCACCAACAGCCAGATGACAGGGTCCGACAGTCCCCAGCTCAAGAGATGTAAATTCCAATGGTGTGGCGAAGCAGGTCTTGAAGGAATCTCAAGTTATAGCGACACAGTACACGGGTACGCGTTCCACAGATAGTGTAGCTTGCAAATGGAGGCACAGAACAAACAAGGCAGCCACACACTCGTCCGATGAGACAGGCGAGGCTCGCTGAGCTATTTCTCTCTCTGCCCTTCAACCAATCTCACGTGTTCATTGGCCATGTTGGCACAACAAACCTACCTACCACAGGTGTACACACACAATGGAATACTCTGCAGCATTAAAGAAGATATACATCTGCAAAACACCTCAGCACGGATGAACCTGGAAGACTTTATGCTGAACACTGAAGGACAAGCATTTTATGAGACCACTATATAAAAAGTCAAAAGGTTTTCACATTAAAATATTCTGATGATGCCCCAAGTGGGAGGTTGGGAGGGTAAATTACGAACTAGAGGGTAGAGATGTTAACCTGGGTCAAGGAGAAGGCAGTACAAAGCAAAAGGTGAGAAAACAACAACAAAGGTGAAGAGGGCACTGGAGAAATGTGAGGGAACAGAAGAGAACACGAAGACCCGAACCTGCAACCCTCCCGAGTTGGTGCCGGAGGAGAATGGGACCATGCCTACAAACGTGGGTTTGACACGGGGGGCGCTTTATCTGTGTATTCATTTATGTTGCACATCTGCCCTTAGAGACTGCCTCGCCCACCGGCCTGGTGGTCCACAGCATCGCCCTGCATCCAGGGACTCACTTCACAGCCGATGAGCTGTGGACATGGGCGCACGTGCAGGGAACCCACCAGTCCCTTGCTCCCACTGTCCTGCAGCAGCTGGCTTGATAGGATGGAATCGTCTAAAAGTACATTTCTAAATAAGGGTTTGCGGTGGGGCTTGGGATAGAGGCGCTGATATCAAGGAGTTCAAGAAGAAAATGTTTTGAAATGGATTGTGGTAGCAATCATACGATCCTGCTTGATGTGATTGAACTACAGAATAGTATCTGCAAGAGTCCCCAATAACTGATAAAATATATATATATATAAACTAAAACAGATAATTCTGGCACCAGCTAGGTGTGACAATACCGCATAGCCCTGAGGCATGTTCTCCAGGAGGCTGTGTATGCTCTCAACGTGTCCAATACATGGTGCTGTGTCGCCCACAGCCAGGGTTCACGAGTCCAAGAACCAAACAGCGCAAGTGAGAGTGACATTACTCCTATCAGCACCTGTTCCCCGCACCCAACCTGGCTTGGCAGGGCTTACTTTGCACCTTGATGCACCTGTCAGGAGGTCCCTAAATAAAAACATTAATGCTGTAAGGCAGATGAGGTAGAAAGGCCAAGGCTTTGACTGAAATATCAGCCAGCCAACGAGAAACCTATAGGGGGAGCAGAGTCACCATGAGTTGGGGGCCAACTTGATGGTAACAATCACACTGACCTCTGCTACCAGCCTTTCCTGCCCCGAAAAGGGTTTGCACATGCTCCTACCCTGTCCTCGGTGTTGTGGTCACAGACATAGACATCATCCGGTGCCCTGACATTACACCCCACACAGACCCTGCCAGCTCTGCCTTCAAAACAGACCCCATTCTGCTGGGGCCACTGACAAGTGTTGGAAATACAGTGAACCCTCGCCACTTTGCGCTTCGACTTCCGCGGCTTCACTCTATCGCGGTTTTTGTGTAACAGTGCATGCTCTGTCATTACTGCCACTGATTGGCTCATACTGTACACGCTTGATGCCATAAATAATATAATAAATAAGAAATGATAATTGTAACATCCAAAATGTTTTACGTTATTTTCCCTTTTTCGTTTAATAAATTGGGTAATACGAGTGTAATGGTGACTAAAGGGTGTTTTTTCATGTCCTCTATGCTCTAACTACGAAAATATTTGATTAACAAATAAGGAATCCTACTTCGCGGAATTTCATTTATCACGGTAGGGTCTAGAACCGATTAACCGCGATAAACGAGGGTTCACTGTACATGGTGACGACCGCACAATTTAGTGACTACAAGGGGCTTCCAAAAGCCTGAAGAACCCCCTTGTTTTTCAGTCCTTTCCCCCATGTACTTTTGGCAGCCGCCTCGTATAATTACCATCACTGGGTGACATACATAAAAAATGGTTAAAACTGCAACTTTCACATTATATGTGCATTTTACAATAAATAATTTAAAAACCACTTGCACACACAGGAATCAAAGCTGTTGGGATTCTACCATTTATTTAAAAGAACCACCGAACATCACAAGTGGCTTCCACTGGTTGGCCAGCACATGGTGGTGGCTCCACTGTCCTCCATACGCTTGGGACCTGCTGTCTTCTGCCATTCCCAATGTCCCCAGACAAGTCTCCGGTACTGCTGCTGGTGCCGGGCAGAGACTGAGATGTGCCCTGCAGCCACCTCCAGTGCTTTTCCTGGACTTGGCTGTGGAGGGGAGGCCAGCCTGGGGTCCTTCACAAAGCCAACTACCTTGTGTGTGTTTTGGCACCGGTTCCACTGCTAGGCTGGCATCTGGGCAAGCAGAGGTATCCAAGGAGTGAGTGGCACTGATGAGGGTAGAGGCTGGGTTGGCTGAGCCCACCCGATTGGCATGGCAGTGACTCATCCAACAGAGGTTTGTTTGAAGAAGAGACACATGAAAACAGCAGAGCTCAAGTTCCAGGGGCAGACAGAGGGCCCCGCCCCCTGCCCAAGTCTGTCACTCTGGACAGTGCCAACCAGACGGAGTTCACTCAGAGGCTGCCTGCTGGGTGGCAGGAGAAGGTAGGCAGAGATCCCACCACTAAGTATCCAGGTGTGGGACCCCCTGAGGAGGAAGTCTGTAGTCTGGGCATCCTCCCATCCAAGAAGCTTCTCAGAGGCCTCCCCTGCCCGCCCCCAGACCACTATCCAGGGCCAGGAATGCTGGCTAAGAGGCCAAGGCTGGTTCAAGGGGGCAAGGCAGGCCTCCAAAACCGCCCAAGAAGCACAGACCAGCGCACCTTCCCTGAAAGCACCCCCCCACAAGGCACCTGGCAGAGGGGCCACTGCTCCCAGGCCCAAGCGGCGCTAAGGCACAGCACAGCCCACCCCCTGCCCCCTCTGGCTGCACCTGTCTGTGCAGAGCAAGATCTGCACGGTTTATAAAGTTTCCCTGAATGGTGTGAATGTCAAAAAAAGTTGGTTTGTCCAACAATACAAAAGAGGACAGTGACCCACGCAGTAAAAATATTTGGGGAGTGTGTGTGGCTAGGAGCAAACAGGGCACCCATCTGTCCTGAGTCCAGCTCGATCGCTTCTTGCCAGCTCTGGCTCAGCATGAACTGCCAGGGCCCTGAGGCCTCAGAAAGTGACTGGATTGGGGGTAAAGGTAGGAGTAGCTGAGGGGCCCCTGCCATGCCAGAGACACTCCCAGGATAGCCCTCCAGGAAGCAACCAGGAAAGGAGCCGAAGGAAGGGCAGCGCCCGCCCGCCCACCCCCAGCTGCACAGGCACCAGTCTACTGGAGAGGGCACGGGGGAGCCAGGCTCCGTCACAGCGGTGTCTAGACGGCTCTGCACCCGGACCCACCCAACTGACGCCAGGCCGCATAGCCGTGAACAGAACCACTGCCCACAGACCCACCACTCCACACCAGATGTGCAGCCGGGCCTCGGGTGGGCTGGCGCTCACTGCAGGATGAAACCCGGCCGGGGTGGGGGTCGCTGTGGGAGGGCTGGGGGGTAGGGCGACACGTACTGCGGTGAGAAGCCCTGCTGGGTGGGGAGGCCCACCCGGGGAGGCAGCGGGGGGCACTGCAACCCAGGATATGGAAGGGCCTGTCCTGAGCCCGCGGCTGCTGTGAACGGGGTGGCCAAACGTCCTGCCAGCACTGGTGGCGGTGGAGGGGGCAGGCGGCGGGCAGCCACGGCAGGCGGTCCACTGGTGTCGAGCATGGGGCAGGACAGGGGGGTGGCAGGCGCAGGCAGCCGGGGGGGTGGCAGAGGGGCGGAGGCTGGCGGGAGTCTCTGCCCCTTTAGCACCAGCTCCTGGAACTTCTCGATCTTCACTCTGCGCATGTGCGCCAGTTTCCGTCGGCTCTGATAGACATCAATGAAGGAGTCCAGGGGCACCTCTCCATCCAGAAACTTCTCTGCCATGTTCTGAAAGACAGCAAGGTCAGGCAGGCAGGGACAGGCGGGTGGGGAGATGGGGGCAGGTTCATCATCTGGAGGCTCAGCCACATCAGATGGCATTGTGCCCACCCTGGGGACTCAAAGCTCAGGTACTGGCCTTACCTCTGTGTCTTCCTCAATCTTGGCCCCTTCGGCTTGAAGAAGTGCCAGGAGGGTCTCTAAGGAAGCGCTGTTGGACTGTCGGTCTGCAAGAGGCAGGCAGCGTCAGGGGAGGGGACACCTGGACACAGCCTCCCCACCAGAGTTCTAGCCGGCTGGTCACCAGCAGGCTACCCAGAGAACCACAGGGCAAGGCATCCCAGAAGTGTCCTGACAATGCCCCGTGGCACTCTGTGTGTTCTGCCCTGACTCTCCTGTTCCTGGAAGGCCCACCGGGGAAAGTTACCTAGTCTGGTCTTCTTTATCTGATAGGCGTCAAAGAGCAGCTGCAGCTCCTGGTATTTCTGGGACAGGCTGGCTCTCAGTGAGTCCAGCTGGGGCTGGTACAGCAGGTTCCCTTCGGCCAGGCTCCGGTTGCTGGTGAGTGTCATCTCCTTGCTGAGCTGCAGGTTCTGCGTCTGTGAGGGCACACATGGTGATAGCCAACAATGGGTCAGTTCCTCGCCAGTGCAGAGGTCCCTGCTCCCCTTCCTCAGAGCCCAGCCACGCACGGGGCCGGAATCCCAGGACTCCCAGCTAGCACCAGGTGCAAGGCAGCCGCTCCCGGGGCAACTCTGGCCCAAAAGGTCCTGGTTCCCGCAGATCCCTCTTCCTGGGGAGTGGACTCTCCACTGCTGCCACGGTCCTCCCAAAAGCAAACAGCAAGGGGATTCAAGGCTGGACAGGCTGAGGAACTTACTCTGAGGAAGTCACAGAACCACTCAGATTGGGGGGGCGCCGGAGGGGGGAGGGACGACGGACCCCAGGTGTCACGATGCCAGGCTTAGAGATTGTGATCGGTTTTTTGGGGGCCGACATGGCTCCCTTAGGACCATGTGGGCCGAGTTTAGCCTGTCAGGTTGTTGTTTGGTTATATTGGAGGCTGGCCTCTTTCTCTCTCTCCCTGGTGACTGGACCAGCACGCTGCCCCAGTTAGCTGCTCTGCCTCAACCGTGTGCTGTGCTCCATCTGGCCAAGGCACCATGTCGCTGTGCTGCTCCACACTGAGACGCCACCCCACCCTGCCGTGTCTGCTGCCTGGGGGCCAACACCACACCTCCAACCCACCGCTCTGAATGGCTGCATCGTGAGACCAGCTTGGCCACGTTGCCGTCCTGCCCTCCACTGCACCCTGACCCTCTCTTCAGCTTCCCACTGTCAGCTTATTTGCCCTTGAGCCAGTGGCCAGATAATGTAGAACGACCTTCAGTCTGTTCATTGTCCCACGAAAGTGAGCTGGGCCAAGCTCTCTGTACTGCCGTGTGCACTAACTTGCTCTTGTATTCCTCTTCACTATATAAACCTCCCCTTTTCCGTGTAATCATAGGTGTCCTGGTTGTGTTTCTCTACAGAGCCTTGGCTAACGAGAAAGCCCACAGGCTCTGGGATTGACTCTGCTCAGACAGCCTCCTCCTCTCTTCTTCCCATGCTACGAGTTGGCTGGCTTCTGGCTAGTGGTCTGACACAAACCTGAGCCCAACCCCCCCCCCCCCCCCCCCCGCGGGGCATGGATGCCAATTCAGTGACCCCACAGAGCAGAGCAGAGCTGCCCCAGAGAGTTTCCAAGACTGTCAATTTCACAGACACAGACTATGGCCCCAAGGCACCGCAGGTGGGCTCGAACTGCTGGCTTTTAGGTTGGTAGCCGAGTCCTTTATCCAGGGTGCTATCAGGGTCCCAGCTGACACAAACCACTCCCAGGGAGTTCATTCTGATGCCAAGGGACCCTGCACAGGGTTTCAGAGCCTGTCCTCATGACAGCAGCAGACAGCCTCCTCTTTCTCCCCAGGAACCAGGGGTGGTGGGTCTGAGCTGCTGCCCTTGGGGTCTGATGGGTTTCTGATGGGTCATCCTGAAGATGGTGCCCACTCCCCTGACCTCAGTAAGTGCTGGGGGCTAGGGGCAGGTGAAGGGCAGAGGTTACAGAAAACCACAGGTGTATCCCCGCCCTGCTGAATCTCCATTATACAGCCTAGATGTGGGGTTTCCACTGCTCCTCGCCTGGTCTTCATGGAAGCTTCAGTAACTCCAGCCCAGTCCACTCTGCTCTCCTCCCACCTCTGCCCAGTTAGGTGCAACTTCCTTGCACTGCATGGAACGGACTCCTGACACTCACACTAGTCCATTCTCAGGTGACCTGCTGGAGCAGGAAAACAAGGAGCAGGCCCTGGGCTCTGCTCATGAAAACCCAGCCTCTCTCCTGGGTTCTAGGACCCCTGAGGCTCAGCTCAAAGAACCAAGGTCAGGATGAAGTGGACACTCGCAGAGCTGGGAGCTAAGTGTCCTGTCTGCTCTTCCTGTGGCTTGGGGGGGG